GAAAGAGGGGAAATGGAAAATTTTCCAAGCCAATTTTGGGGGAAATTTTAAAAAAGGGGGGGGGGAAGGGGAGGCAGGGGGAAATTCACTGGGGCAAGGGGGGGGGTTTTGAGGAATTTTATTTGGGAAAAGGAGGAGGGAAGGGGTTCCAAACTGTTGTCCGAGGGGAGGAAAGGGTTTTAGGGGTTCGGCTGAAGGAAGAGGGGAGAAGAATGTTCAAGCTGAATTAGGGAAGGGGGGGGTAGGGGTGGTGGAAAAGGTTAGGGGGGGGGGAAAAAAAATTTTTTGGGGGGGTTAAACCCAGCCGACTGTTTTGGGGAATGGAGGAAAAAAGGTTTTTTTTTCTTTATGTTGTTTGTGAGAAATAAATTAAAGGGGTTCAGGGAAAAAGGAGGGGATTGGTTTGGGAAAAAATGCCTTTAAGGGGGGGGTTTAAAAAAATTTTAAAAATAATTTAAAAATTTGGAATTGATTTTTGTTAAAAATTTTTTTTCCGGGCCCCCCCCTTGGGGGGAATGGGGTTTTTATAAAAATTTATTTTTTTTTTTTAATTAAAAATTTTTTTAAAAAATTTAAAAAAAATTTATAATTTAAATTTTTATTTTTTGGATGAATTTTTTGTTTTTTCAGGGGCCCCCTTAACCCCTTTTTTTTTTGTGCCAATTTTAAGGAAGTAAGTGGAAAAAAAAAGGGGGGAAAACTCTACTTCACAAAATTTTCCCTTTTCAAATTCGGGGGGCCCCGAAAACCTTTGGAAAAAAAATTTTCGTTTAAAGGGGGGCCCCTTTCTTTTTTTTTTTAAAAACCTCTAGAGGAGGGTGGGCCCCAAAAAAAAAAAAACCCCCCAAAAAAAATTTTCTATCTTCAAAATTTTCCCCCCCACAAACAGTTTTTCAGTTTAAAAAACGTTTAAAAAAACTCATTAAAAATAACAACCCCCAAAAAAACCAAAATCTTTTAATCCATTACTTCCCTTTCCCGGACTAAACCGGTATAAAAAATTTTGGTTTCCGAATTTCCCTTTTTTGTCACCCAAAAGAGGGTAAAAAAATTTTTCCCCCCTTTTCCCCCCCCAAAAATTAGGGTTCTAGTAAAATTGGAGCCAATTTTTTTTTATTTCCCCGTAAAATCAAAAATCTTGAATAATTTTTTCCAAAGAAGATTTTCTTTGTGTTTTGATTTTTGACCCCCCCAAATTTAAATCATTTAATATTTTTTTAAACGTAAATTTTTAAAAAGTGAATTTTTCCGGGGAAATTTTTTTAAAATTTTGGAAGAAGGGGGGGAACCCCTTTTTTGGAAAAAACTTGGCCCCCAATCCTTTGCAAAAAAATTTTTCTTTTAAAAAAGAAAAAAATTTTAATTTTTTTTTTAATTTTAAAAAAAAAAAAATTTTCAAAACCCAAATTTTTTCATATTTTTTTAAAACAAATACCAATTAGAAAAAATTTTATTCTTAGATTTAAAGTTAGGAGACACTTGTTTTTTTTAAAATAATTAATTTTTCCCTGAAAAAATTTTTAAAAAATTTAAACCCAAAACCCAAAAGATAAAAATTTTTTTTTTTTTCCCTTATCTTTTCCAAACAAAAAAAAAATTTTAAAAATTTTTAAATTTTATAATTAAGAAAAAATTCCTTTTTCAGGTGTAGTGATGTTTGGGGAAATGGTTTGGGGGGGTTTTGGGAAGAGGGTTTGTTTTCATTTTTTTTGAAACGGTGTTTTTCCTGAAAAATTTTGTTTTTAAAACCCCCCAGCCTTATCCACACTTGTAGCCCCTTTACTTTTCCCAAACCAAACCTTTTGGTAAAATTCACCCTTACCTTTCCACATTTTTTTTAACCTTTTTTTCAGGTTGGGCGATTAAAAATTTAAACCCCAAAAAAAGAAGCCCAAAAAGGGCTTTTATCTTTCTAATTTTCGGGTGTTTTTTCTGGGTTTTAAAACCAACCCCAAAAAACCCCCCCCCTTTTTAGGTCAGGTTTACCCCCAGGACTAAATTTGAAGTTTTTTGATTTTTCCCCTTTTTTTACTTGGGCCCAAACTTTTTGGGTCAATTTTTTTTTTTCACCCTCAAAACAAAAAAAAAATTTTGAAATTTTTGGCAAAAAACCCGCCCAAAAAAAAAATTTCCCTCTCACTAGGCCCGCCGGCCCGCCCTTCGGGACAATGATTTTAAGTCAGTTTTTCGTAAATTTCAAATTTTTATGCGAACCAAAAATTTTTTTGGGGACAAGTTGGGGGGGACGAATTTTTCTTATTAAAAAAATTTTTTTTTAAATTAAAAAAAATTCCTAATTTTTTTATCAAATGCAAAAATCTTTAAACCAATTTCAAAAATTTAAATTTTAAGGGGTAAAAATTCCAACTTTTCAGGAAATTTGGGTTCCCCGAATCTAATTACCTAAACTTCCAAATCAAATTTCTAGGGGAAATTTTTTATTTAAATTTAAAAAAGGACAAAACTAATCAAAAACTAAAAAGTCAATTTTTTAATTTTTTTTCCCTCCAAAAGAATTCATTTTCTTTTTCTTTTTTTTATTTTACCTCCCTGGGGGATTCACAAATTCCCTTTTTTTCTTAACAATTATCAAAAAATTTTCATTTTCAATTTTTGCAGTTTTGCACAAAAGTTAAAATTTTTTTTTTTTGTTTTTTCCCCTTTTTCCCCCCCTCCCAAGAAAAATTATTTTAACCCCCAAATAAACGTTTTTTAAAATTTTAAAATTTCTTAAAATTATTCCCCTTTTTTTTTTCCCAGTACTCTTTGGGGTTTTTTTTATAGTACCTAAATTCTACCCTAAATTTGGGGGAAAGGGGATGCCTTTAAAAGGGGGGTTTTTTTTTCCCCTAGGAAAAAAAATTTTTTATTGTAATTATAGTCACATTTACCGGCCCCCCAAAAAACCTACCCCCCGGGTTACCTTTTTTCCCCGTGAATTTTAATTCAATAATACTTAAAAAATTTTTTTTTTTTTCCAAACTAAAACCATAATTTTGGGGTTTGGGGGAAAAAACCACTCCCGCCTTCCCCGGGCTCCCTTTCATTTAAAAAAACCCAAAAAAAAATTAAAATTTTTAAAAAAAACTAATTTACAAAATTTTTTTTTATTTAACTACCTCTTCAAAATTTTCCCCCAAAAAAAGGGGGGGGACAAGGGGGAACCCCCCAAAGGACAAGGGGGAAAACAAAAAACAAAAATAAAAAAAAAAAAAAAAGGGGGAAAAAGGGGGAAAGGGGAAAAAAAAAAAAAAGGGGGGTAAAAAAAGCCCAAAAGGGGGGGAAAAAAAAAAAAAAGGGGGGGGGGGGGGAAAAAAAAAAAGCAGCAAGGACTGATGAGACCTCTGTCCTGGGAGTGCCTTTTCCCCCTGGTACGTAGGCCCTTTTGGCTTTTCTTCCAGAAAGGCCTTATCACAGTGTATGCCACTACGATTCTTAAATCCTAAAACCACCTTTGCTGGTTTTAAAATTCACCAATTGGCATAGCCCGGGTTTTTCCCCTGTTACCTGGGGTTAGTCGATGGTGGGGTTGATCTGGGAGACAAGATTAAGGACCCCAATGGAAGTAAGTTAGACAGTCTTCGATGACACTGACTTTTTTGGGTTATCCTGGGTGGCAAATCCTCTGGGGTTAATTGTTTCTTGGTATTCTCAATAAGCCACACCAACAACGGTGCTACAGCAGCAGCAGCAGCAGCAGCTGGACAGTGCTACAGCAGCAGCAGACGATGCTACAGCAGCAGCAGACGGTACTACAGCAGCAGCTGACGGTGGTACAGCAGCAGCAGCAGCTGACAGTGCAGCAGCAGCAGCAGCAGATGACGGGGGTTTACAGCAGCAGCAGCTGACGGTGGTACAGCAGCAGCAGCTGCGGTGGTACAGCAGCAGCAGCAGCTGTACCACCAATAGTAGCGATGGTTGATTGGGGTTTATTATACAACCTGGCCAGCTCGGAGACATGCACTCCACTTTCATACTTATCAATGATCTTTTTCTTCATCTCTATAGTAATTCTCACCCTTATTGCTGTAGGGTTGGCACTAGAAGCTTTCTTGGGGCCCATGGTCACTTATTTTGCAGATAAAATCACCAAAAACACTGTAATAATACGAAATGTTCCGATTGTATGCTTGGATGTTACCGCGGAGGCTGGCTGGTAAACAATGCCACCGGTGGCACATGTGAGGCTGGCTAAGGGCGCACATTGGACGCGTCTCAGACGAACAGCGGTGAGCGGGTTTTTGAGCGGTATGCGAGGCAAATTTTTTGCGATAAAAGCGAGCGTATGCGGATTTAAACGTTATGTGATGCCGACGGTATGCGGGGGTCCACTGTATACATTATATATATATATATATTTTAACAAACCGGCCGTAGCCAACCAAGGCGGGTGGCCCAAAAAGAAAAACGAAAGTTTCTCTTTTTAAATGTAGTAATTTATACAGGAGAAGGGGTTACTAGCCCCTTGCTCCTGGCATTTTAGTCGCCTCTTACAACATGCATGGCTTACGGAGGAAGAATTCTGCTAGACTGCTCACGGCGCCTGTGTGGGGACGTGGACAGAGCGGGCGGCAGACAGGTCCCGTACCCAGCGGTCCGAAAATAGGGGCTCATTCGATAATAGGGACACAGTTTGTCCGAAAAAATGGTCCTATTTTCGAAACATTTGATATGTGATATGTTCGATTTTTGAGGTTCCACTGTATAAATAAAAATAAATAAGCTGGTGTCCCTGCTCAGCTAGCAGTAAACACATACCTGAGTGCTAGCCAACTGTTATGGGTGGAATCGTGGTTAAGGTTTAAGGCACCACAATGAAAATAAGCAACAGTACTAGGCTTTCTTGGGTTATCCTGAATCAACACCCCAAACAGTACTCATCTTCTTTAAGACAATAAATGGAGGGTTTTAAGACACCAAGCAGCCTTGGAATAGGATGATCCAATGCAAGTAATTCAACTTCATCACAAATATATACTCATTCCATTTCTTCAACATACCTTATTGCCAAGTTCTTGTGCAAGAGCAAGAGCAATTGCAGTCTTGCCTGTTCCTGGAGGACCGGCAAACAGGGCTGCTCGACCAGACATTCTCTTTGTGCGGATCAAGTCAACGAGGTAACCCGCAGCCTGAAATTATTAATATACATTAATGAATGACACAAATGAGAAAATGACATACATACATAATTTATATATATCTATATATATATATATTATATCATATATATATATTTTATATATATATATATATATATATATACTATATATATATATATATATATATTTACAACCTACCATCCGACTTACGGACCGATTTCAGTTCCGTGAAACCGGTCATAAGTCTGAAATGGACTCAAGTCGAACTTTACTACAGAAATATCAACATCACATTTTTGTATGACTTATTTTATTGTTTTATTTTGGTATTTCTGTTTTACTTTACTTTTTATGCTGTTAGTACTGTATTTTATACTGCAAGGTTTAGGCTAAACACTGTGTACAACACAAATAGTTGTTTATTTCCCAGAAATTTGGCATAAAAAACATGGTCTTAGTCAAGTGTCGTTTTTTAATTTTTGGGGGGTTTTGAGCAGGTCTAAGTCGGATTGGTAGGTGTGTGATGGTGATGTATATATATACAGTAAGGCCCCGCTTTAAGGCGTTTCGCCTTACGGCGTTCCGCTAATACGGCGATTTCAAATTATGACCAAAATTTGCTATATGGCAAGCGGTCTTTTAAATACAGCGCCCCCACCCGGTTTGTTTACATTTTCGTGGGACACATATATTACGTAAGGAAACTTTCCAAAATTCAAGTGTTTTAAAGTTACTGCATATTTTATATGTACTCTGATAATTATACTTGTGTGTACCTGTACTAAAGATACTTACACACTGTGCTTGGTGTGCAGGTAACATTAAAAATCGCTAAGTCTCTCTCTACTCATGGACGTCAATTACTACGTAATAATAACACTCTGGGCACACAAGATGTCTTATTTTACATCAATATAGGCATTTTCTTAATCGAATCTATGATATTTTCCTTCAAAATTATATATGAACCCATTACATAGCCATATAAACAGATGAAATATACACTCAGAATAAAAATTGATGTAAAATATGAGATTTGTTTACAAAGCAGCTGTTGTAGGTGGGTGTCTGAAGAATTACGTTTTCTCTAGTCAAACACTGTGGGGGTAATGTAGAAATATATTCTTTTGTATAATGCCTTTATGTATAGCAATTCACGACCCTTGTGGGTTTAGCAATTTTTATAATAATTAATAATAATATTATTATTTTATTAATATTAATAATAATAATAATAATATTATTATTATTATTATTAATACTAATAATAATATAATAAATTATTATATATTTAATATTATTATCTTCACTCTAAAAAAGGTAGTGTTGCTGTTTGTTTATTCTGACAACTAACTTGTACAAAACTTGTAAACAATGTAGAGTATTTGTATTGTGGAAGGGTTAAAAAAGTATTATTATAATAAAAAAAAATATTGAGGTAAATGTTTTACCAAAACTCTTACAAAAATGGACATGAATGAACTAAAAGTTGAAACATATTAATACGCATTTATTTCGCTGACCAAGTGATCGTCCACATACCTGTTCAGTTTTTGTGTTCTTACATTGTCTCAACTCTGTATCTTGTTCTCTCTCTCGTTTACTCTTACGTTAATAGTTGGCTCCTCATTGACGATTGCGTCTAAGGTTAAGCTGTAAAAAAAGGAGAGATGTGTTATACGCTTCTTGCTTTAAGTGCCAAGTTAGAGGATGATGGTGTGCCATTTGATTTTTATTCAATAAACACCCTGGCCACTGCGCCTCTCACACATTAATATTAATATTTTAAGGTAAGTAATAGTGTACTCTGTGTGTATCTTACTTTTATTGTGTTTTTAATGCTATTTCTATTGCTAACTTAATACAAGTTAGTGTAAAGCTTGTTGTCTGGATTTATTGCATATTTTATGTGCTCGATTACTAATACTTGTGGAGCCGGGTGGAGGGACAAACATACGTTTTCTCTGCTCAGCCATCAGAGAAAACGTATATGAATCTCGTTTGCCCAGCCATCCCCCTCTCCGATTCTTGTTTACCAATTTTCGGCCATAAAATTATTCATTACTTCTCACCTTCGTTTATGGATGGCATCTAAAGGTAGTTAGAAAAAAATGATTAAATTCGTGAACAAGGCATGTCAATGTTTAATAATATGGCTCTGGGCACAGCGTAGGTTGAGCCGGTAGGTATAGCCCAGGACCACAACTACCGGCTACCTTTATACATTTATACAAATAAATACTAACTCACCTCTCTTCCTATATTAAGACTACAATATTTGAAGTAAATAATGAGTGTACTGTATGTGTATTTTACCTCTCGGGATGTTTTTAAATATAGTATATTAAGTATGAGACGGGGAGGAGCAGCTCTACCTACACCTGGGCTACCTGCACCTGACTTCCTACAAATAAGTACTATCACCTCTCTCCCTACATTAGATTTACAAATACTTTAAGATATAGATAAGAATTTTACTGTGACTGTATTTTATTTTTGTGTGTTTTTAATGCCTAGTTCTATTACTAACTTAATATAATTTAAGTGTAACTTGTTGTCTGGCATTTATATGCAGTTATAAATGGGTAAAAATGGAGAGTTCTGCCTTCCAGCGACGTTCTGCTTCCGGCGACAGGGGGCTGGAAACCTAAGTGGGGCCCTACTGTATATAAGTTTTATATAGATATACATATATATTTTTACAACAAGTTGGCCGTCTCCCACCGAGGCAGGGTGCCCAAAAAAGAAAGAAAATCCCAAAAAAGAAAATGCTTTCATCATCATTCACACTTTCACCACACTCACACATAATCACTGTTCTTTGCAGAGGTGCTCAGATTACAAAAGTTTAGAAGCATATACGTATTAAAGATACACAACATATCCCTCCAACTGCCAATATCCCAAACCCCTCTTAAAAGTGCAGCATTGTACTTCCCATTTCCAGGACTTCAAGTCTGACTATATGAATAATACGGTTTCCATGACCCCTTCACTAATTCCCTGCTCACACTCCACTGGCCGATTACCACCAAAGCAGGGGGCTGAAAAAGAAAAAACTTTCACCATCATTCACTCCATCACTGTTTGCAAGAAGGGTGCTTTTACACTACAGTTTTTAAACCGCAACATTACACCCCTCCTTCAGAGTGCAGGCACTGTATTCCCATCTCCAGGACTCAAGTCCGGCCTGCGGTTTCCCTGAACCCCTTCATAATGTTACTTTGCTCCACACTCCAACAGCACGTCAAGATATTAAAACCATTTGTCTCCATTCACTCCTCATCAAACACGCTCACGCATGCTGCTGGATGTCCAAGCCCCTCAGCACACAAAAACCTCCTTTACCCCCTCCCTCCAACCCTTTTCCTGGCGACCCCATCCCCGCCCTCCTTCCCGCACCTCCTCCTAACTTCCAAACTACGAATTCTCTGATTATATTCACACCACACATTGCCCTCCAGACATGACATCTCACACTGCCTCCAGCCTTCTTCTCACTGCAACATTCATCACCCATGCTCACACCCATATAAGAGCGTTGGTAAAAACACTATACTCTCATACATTCCCCTCCTTTGCTCCAAGGACAAGTTTCTTTGTTCACAGGACTCCTAAGTGCCACACTCACTCTTTTCCCCTCAGCAATCTATGATTCACCTCATATTTTTCATAGACCATCCGCTGACACGTCCACTCCCAAATATCTGATACATTCACCTCCTCCATACTCTCTCCCTCCAATCTGATATTAATCTTTCATCACCTAATCTTTTTTGTTATCCTCATAACCTTACTCTTTCCTGTATTCTACTTTAATTTTCTTTTTTGCACACCCTACCAAATTCATTCCACCAATCTCTGCAACTTCTCTTCAGAATCTCCCAAGAGCCAGTGTCAATCAGCAAAGAGCACTGTGACAACTCCCACTTTGTGTGTGATTCTTTATCTTTTAACTCCACGCCTCTTGCCAAGACCCTCGAATTTACTTCTCTTACAAACCCATCTTGTAAATATTAAAACCACTGGTGACATCACACTTCCTTGTCTAAGGCCTACTTTTAATGGGGAAATTAATTTCCCTCTTTCTACATACTCTAACTTGGAGCCTCATACCTCATAAAAACTCTTCACTGCTTTCAGTAACCTTACCTCCTTACCCATTAACTTGCAACATCTGCATGCCATATATATACCCTATATTAATATATATACTAATATATATTATATATACATCTATATTATATACTATATATATATATATTATATTATATATATAATATATATTTATAGATGGATAGTGAGGCTCAAGTTAGAGTTGTGTAGGAAAGAGGGAAAATTATTTCCCAGTAAAAGTAGGCCTTAGACAAGGATGTGTGATGTCACCATGGTTGTTTAATATATTTTATAGTTGGGGTTGTGAGAGAAGTAAATGCCGAGGAGGGTCTTGACCAAGAGGCGTGGAGTTAAAAGATAAAGAATCACACACAAGTGGGAGTTGTCCAGTTGCTCTTTTGCTGGATGAACTGTGGCTCTTGGGATATTCTGAAGGAAGTTGCAGAGAATTGGTGGATGAATTTGGTAGGGTGTGCAAAAGAAGAAAATTAAAAGTGAATACAGGAAAGAGTAAGGTTATGAGGATAACAAAAGGTTAGGTGATGAAAGACTGGATATAAGATTGGAGGGAGAGAGTATGGGAGGAGGTGAATGTATCAGATATTTTTTTTTTAGGGGGAGTGGACGTCAGTCAGCGGATGGGTTATGAAGGCTGAGGTGGAATCATAGGAATTGATGATGGGAAAAGGCGGTGTGAGTGAAAAAAGGTGGGTGCACTTAGGGAGTCTGTGGAGCAAAGAATTTGTCCTTGGAGGCAAAGAGGGGAATGTATGAGAGTATAGTTTTACCAACGCTCTTATATGGGTGTGAAGCATTGGGTGATGATGTTGCAGCGAGGAGAAGGTGGAGGCAGTGGAGATGTCATGTCTGAGGGCAATGTGTGGTGTGAATATATGCAGAGAATTCATAGTTTG